GTGTATTTTGGTGTTTCAGCTTCTGAAATTTAACCAAACTTTTTGAACTTCTTTTGTTACGATTGTCATTAAATCAAACAACTAAAGTTTATTAAATAGTTGTCGGAGATAACACAATAATAATAATAACAAATACAAGGATAATTTCATAAGTGGGGTATGGGGAGAGTAATATTATCTTGCCTCTATCTTGCGAAAGGTAAAGGTAAAGAATCTATTTCCGATAGACCATCGGTCAGTAAAAGAATAGTCACATTATTATTAAAAAGAAAAATATTTATGGATACAATAATAGTAAAAGAAAAAAAGTAACCATAAAAAGATAATAAGATAACCGAAATAAAAATAACAACCGATAATACTAAAAATCTGCATATAATAACACTTCACTATAAAAATTAAATATTTTCGAAATTAAATTTTATATTCTGTTATAATATATATTTTTTATAACAGTAATTCATTATAACATCAAAAATATCTTAAACACACAAGTTTATTATAAGCAATCATTTATTACCAACATTTCCCGATTCACGTCTTTTGATTCTCAGACAAAAAACGGTGGCTAAGCCAAGTCAACAACCTCAACCGTTCATAATCTGCTTACCCCTTTTCATTTTTTCCTCCAAAAAAATGGTGGAGCTAAAGAACCTACGATCAGACACGTTAACACTTGTACTTGTAAATCTTGCTAGTATAATGGAGAAAGCTGATGAATCTTTATTACCTGGAGTTTACAAAGAAGTTGGCAAAGATTTACATACTGACCCAACTGGTCTTGGTTCTTTAACTCTTTTCAGATCATTAATTCAGTGTCTTTGTTATCCTTTAGCTGCATATCTTGCTGCTCGTTATAACAGAGCTCATGTTATTGCTATTGGTGCTTTTCTTTGGTCTGCTGCCACTTTCCTTTGTGCTATCTCCTCTACTTTTACTCAGGTCAATAATTTAATTCTCTATATATGGTGTTCAAATAGAGAAATGAGTCATAACCCAGTTGATAATTTATGAAACTAGTGTTGTTTTTGGGGTTTTCTTGGTTTATTTGTGTTAGGGACAAATTCAGAATTTGAATTTGATATGTTGCCCTTTAGGGTCTTACCATTGAACCTATCAATATTTATTTTTTTCAGACATACATATCTGTATTGATTGCTATTTAAAACTGCGCTTTGCTTGAGCCGGGAGTGTGTATCAGAAACAAACTCTCTACCTTCACAAGGTATAAGGCTGCATACACACTACTGAGGCAAATCCAAAATTTAAAGTTTATGAGTTCCTATTTAAAGTTTAAAGTTCTACAAGGTAGTGGTTAGACCAACTATGTTGTACGGAGCAGAGTGTTGTCCAGTCAAAAACTCCCATGTCCAGCACATGAAAGTAGCTGAAATGAGGATGTTGAGATGGAGAATCCAACATATGCAGAAACACACTTCTTCCGAATGAAACTCCTCTCCATTTTCTATTATCTCCATTTTCGTAAGTTCCTACTTTGATGACGGACACATGTTATAGTATACAATTAATGGTTAAGATTTAGTAACTAAAGAAAGAATTCATAACCATGGTTAGAATAATAAATGTTCCATATAATTGCTCCCAAATATTTTGGTAATTCCACAATTCTAGTGCACATTATATCTTTTCTAAATACATTCTAAAAAGTTTCTGTCTTTCCTAGAGCACTTTTTGTGCGTATTTTCCTATATTTAATTATTAGCTGCGAATTCTTTATCCTTGTGAGAAGTAAAGTATTACTTACTTACATAATTTTTGTGTTTTTAGGTCATCTTTAATTGATTCTTGTACCGTTTCCATTGATATCTAATTTTTAAAAGATAACGACATTTTTGTAGGAATGCATTTTGGCATTAGAGGAGACAACTCGATGGAAATTTGAATATCAGAATCTTCTTAGGCTTTTTATTATTTTATAAAAAATGTTTTTATTATTTTTAAGTTTCTATTATCGGGTGTTGGAGTTTACTTCTAACATTTCTCATGTTTGAATGAGAATATGTAAGAAGATCTCGCAAGAAAGTACTCTCTCCGGTCCATTTTAAATAATTTTTTTTTTGCTCTTTTCATATATATTAAGAAATTCATCTTTTAGCATTAATTAACAATGAAATTGACTATATTAACCTTAATTTGCTCATTGAAAAATATAACAAACTACTCATAAGTTCTTTACTCCAAAGACAACATTGGAAAGAAGAAGTTAATTCCTTCTTGATATCTGGAAAAATCAAATGTTGTGGACCATAAAAAAAATTAAAAAATCACTTAAAGTGGACCGAAGAGAGTCTGGGGCAAAACTAGAAGCCCGGCTACGGGTTCGGCAGAATTCACTAATTTTTGCTCAAACAGTGTATTTGCGTTAAAATTTTCATTAGATATGTAAAAATATTAAATTTAGAATACAGTTATCGGCACTTGAAATCGCAATTCTAAAATCCAAAACCCATAAAATTGAAATCTTGACTCCGCCTCCGGAGAGAGTAGCAAAGATAGAACAAGGATGAATAATTTGCGGCTAATTAATAAATATAGGAAAATCCGCACTAAAAAAAAGGCAGAGTAGAAAAAAGAGAGAAACTTTTAAAATGTATTTAGAAAAGAATTAATGTGCAGGTAAAATTGTGGAATCGACAAAATATTGAGGAGCAATTATATGGAATTAGCCATTAATCTTAGCTAACTCAATCTTAGCCACTAATCTTATCCCTCATCCATATAGGAACTTTAGAAATTGGAGACAATAGGAAATGGAATTAGATCAAGTTTACATACGATAACAATTAATTTTCATAACATACCTGGCCTGTATAATAATTTTTGAAAAAATAACTAAATACCATCGTTATCATTATTTAAATTACAATAATAATATAAATAGTTTTCACACTACCAGCCCGTACCGCCATAGTAATAGGTGCAAAAACAGCCAAATAGTTCCCCGCACTCTCCACTTATATGATTATTTCCAGAACGTTCTGCACAATAATTGTTGCAGTTTTCGTCGAAAAGACACCATCCATAATCATTAGAACCATCCTCTACAATGTTCTTACCTTCGACTTCTGTCAATTCTGCATCCAAAAACAAAGAAAATGGAAAAAATAAAATAAGAAATAGCCTGATTTACAACAAGTAATTAAAAAATAATCATAATTTCAAAATTAAATAAAATTTAACTACTTTTTCATGTAAAGATAATATCTGAACAAAAATACCTTTAAAAATCCGAAAATATTTTTGCATAATATGTCGGAGTTCGAATTTTTTACATATAAGACTCCAGCATAATGTACAGAAGTTCCAACATAATATGCTAAAAGTTTATACGCAGGAACTCCATAATCCAACATATTATGCTGAAACTTTCTGTGTTTCAGCTAGGGTATTTTTGTCCAGATTTTATCTCTGTATAAAATAGTGGTTATTTTTCAATGACTTTACAAACACCGACAATTTTTCGATTACGAGTCCGAAAATTGGCTAGCCCATGCTATTTTCACAAAGTAAAATTAACAACTACGAAAATTCTTTTTTATACCTCAGAATTAAGCAGTTATATGATTCAAAGTAAATAAAGTGCGAGATTTCATCATATATTTAGTAATAATTTTTGCATCGATATCAAATCAAACTCATAGAAATAAACAAGCAATCACCTAGTGATGCAAAGGCTAAAATCAAACAGATCAGAAGGACAAAAAGTCGTGATGTAGTCATTATTTCTTCTTCTGGTTGAAGAGAATGTTTCTAAATGTATTGTATGTATAAGATAAGATAGTTTAAGCTTTCTCTCAGATATTAAACCAATACTTAAAAAATTAAAGTCTAATTAATTCTTCTAATCTTCCGTTTCAGTTAATTTAATGTGACTCCAAGTTTCATCGGTTTTGGAACAATTAAGACATACTGTATGATTTAAAAGAATAATAATATGAGAATGTGAAACATTACCATTTACCTCAGTGGATACAGCCCACAGAAAGAAAATAGGCAGTAGTAAAATCTTGTGAGACACTGCTGACTATAGTACAAAAAATTCAGATAAGAAATATGAGGCATTAACCTTCGTTTTTCTTTAAAAAATGTAGCCTTAATAAGTCTACGTAAAGACGAACCTAAAATTTAAAATTCATGAGTTCGATATTCTAGTTATTCTAAGTTAGTAGTTTTAAATTAGTAATTTTTATATATTCTATGAATTTTTTAAGACAAATATTAGGTTTGAACTAAATTGAAGGATGGGTTCGGCCAAAACAATAATCGGTATTCTAGCTCCGCCCCGTTTATACGGAGTAACTAAAAAGACAAAAAAAAGGTCATCTAACGATTGTACTTGATATTTTTTGTTTTCAAAAGACTCTTAAAACAAAGAAACAACAATTTCTGTCAAATCTCAATCAAACCTTCTATCCCAATGGCCAACTCCTTATTCCCATGCAAATAACCATAAATCTTTTTTATATTGTCACAAACCTTTCTGTTTCTCAATTCCTGTTACATCCACCGCTCCTCGGTCTCGCATGGAGGAGCGGATTTTACCTGCCGGAAACAATAACAACAACAATAATAACAAATTTTCTTCGACAACATCGCTCCCGCTAGCTCTCCCACCGGACCGATCATCGGACACCTACATTGTCCAAATTCCTAGAGATCAAATTTATCGTATACCACCACCAGAAAATACAAAAATCGTGGAAAGTCATCGTAAACCTAATAATAATTATCAAAGCAATAGGAAATTTGGATGTTGTTGTTGGATCCTATTAGGGTTACTTATATTTGGTATCATTATTGGTGTTATAATTTCGGTTATTCACATGTTGTATATCCCTAAATGTCCTAATTTTTCTATTATTGGTATCGATCTCAAGAATGTTACGGACCCTATTAGTCATGGCCATGCCCAAAAAAATCAACGTCAGCAACATTCAAGGTTCGAGATTGATATGAAAGTGAAAAATATAAATGAAAGAATGGATGTTTCATTTGGTGAAGGGAAAGAAGGGAAAGCTACTCTTATTTTCAAGAAACATGATATTGGACAAGGGAAATATCCATCAATTTCACAAAAAGCTGAGGTTTCTAATAATATTCATCTTAATCTTGATTTTGGTTCTAATGGAAAATTGCCTGGTGATATTATGAAAAGCCTTGAAGATGAGAAGAAGCCAATAATAATGACGTTGATGATTCATGCGAAAATGGAGATTAAGAGTTGGGTTAAAAATATGAAGAAAGATTTGACCATTACTTGTGATTTTGACGTGGAAGGGTTGACAAAGAAATCCAAGATTTTAGCCAATGAGTGTATAACGGATTTCTAATATGTAAAAAATAACAAGTGAAAGGGAAATTTAACAGAAATCCATTATCTTAATGGTTAAGAAGCATGAATTTTCATTATCATGCAATACTTATATTACTATTATTGTTGTAAAATTATGCCTTCTTTCTTCTCTATTTATATTCATTTTTTGACTCATTTATCTCCACCTAATTTTCTAAATTCTTTTCCAATTTGGGTGTCATTTCTTGTATGATTGATTACCTCATTTTACTTCTACAATGGAAAGTGTAAAACATTCTCCTTTTTATTTTTTTATTTTTTAAAAGCATTGCACAATTGCTCCTCTCACAGGAATCAGGATGGAAAGTATAAATCATTGCACAATTGCTCCTCTCACAATTAGCTAGCTAGCCGATCATGTGCTAGAAGTCTATGCTGACATTTCAATAGGTCAAACAAGTCCGTTGGCAAGTCTGTAGGCGCTATTGACTTCTTCTTATATCGTGTTCGTGAAAGTTATGAATTTCATTATCAAATCAAAATAGATTATTCCCTTAGTTCTATCTACCACCTTTTCTCCTTACTCCTTACAGCTTTTTTCAAAGGAAAAAAAAGGGGGTCGATTTAGGCTCCTTCCCTTCCACTGCATAGCCGCACTAGCAGTTACTACGAGCTCTCTGTCCCATTTTTATTCAGCTTGATAATGTTTTAAGCATAGTGTACTTTAGAACTTGAGATTTTAGATGGAAGGAAAAATGATGAGTTGTTCCTTTTTTTCCTCAAAAGATTGACCATATGACAATGTCTTTAAATTTTAAGTGATATGCTTCGTTTCGCTGCATTGTTTATTGAGTCGTTTTCTGTTTTCAGTTTCTTCTTTATGTGTTTGGTTTTAAAGGAATGAGCTAAATTAATTATATCTTTTTACAAGAGATCTTTATTTTTACAAATAAGATATCTGAAAATAATACAAAAGAGATTTTTGCAGGGTCATTTATATTTTTTCTATTTAAATTATAAGTAGGCATAGGAGACCATTTCATCCACACGGAAAAGTCATGGTTCATGCCTCTCTTTTTCCTCTAAAGAAAAAAGTTTTTTCATAATAATTGTCATAGTTCACTATAATACATAAATCCAGTTGAAATATTTAGTTGAACTATCATTTTTAGAGGCATAATATTTTCTGTTAAATTTGGTTGTGTTCAATTCCCCTCTGGTGAAGAAGACTATAAATCTACTCTGCCACATTAAAAAAGTTAGGGGTTGATAGCATTTTACCTCTTTTTGCCATGTTCTTCTTCTCTATTTATGATAGAAGTTGTAATGTTATGTACAAATAGTATCCAGCCTTGGATAGTCAAGGTTGAAATAATTACATAAAATTTTAATGGTTTAGTCAGTTTTCTCTTGTAATCTAGAACTAGAAGGTGGAATGCTCGAACCTGTATAAGTAATAAAATCTTGGGCTTTTTTCACTTTTAGACGGCGCCAATAACTATTTAAAAGTGATAATCGAAAAAGTGTATAAAATTTGTATTATATATATATATATATATATATATATATATATATATATATATATATATACACAAAAAATTAAACAAAAAATATATATATTTGGACTATTATTTTGAGAGCGGCTATATAGTGTCATTTTTCCTAAACTCTTGGGCCAACATTAACTGTGAGCCCAAACTATTTGGGTCAGGGCCCAAATTAGATGAAAAGAAAAGTCAGTTCTTAGGGTTTAGCTGTAATGTAGTTATTGGAGGGCAACACAATTTGTGCTGGAAATCGGGGTGTGGTGAGATGGTTCGGATTCCTTAATCTTTAATTAAAATTTTAGATTCGATTACCGAAAATGACCTCTTGGTATGCAGTGTTCTTTTTTTCTTTTTCTTTTTTTTTCCGCGTGTCCAATATGGATTTATATTATCTATATTAAGTAATGCTAAGCTGCATCACTACAAAAGATGAGTGATCTTCTACTAGTGGCAATTCTTGAAAAGTAAAAATCACAGTTTATGACCAAAATGAGGGACTGAATTAAAAAGACATGCCTGTTCTGATACAAAGTAGTTAGAACCTAAAAGATCATCGTACAAATTATTGCAGCACATCTGAGGGACGTTGTCATTTTTGAAAAAATAAGTATTGCTCCAACATAATTTCTCCTCTTTACAGAATACTCCTCTCACCTCAATTTATGTAGCGGTATTTGATTGATGTAGAGTTTTAAAAGGATTAAATGAACTTTTAAAACTTATAGCTAAAACAAGATATAGCAATTTGGAGGTGCATATTTCCTTTTGTCGTTTCCGTAGTTTTTTATCATTACCGTTGTGATTTTCCTTTATTGAGCCGAGAATCTTCCAGAAATAACTTTTTTACCTTCACAAGGAAGGGATAAGGACTGGTATATATTATACTCCCTAGACCCCACTTGTAAGAATATACTGGGTATGTGATTGTTTTTGTTATATTTCCTTTTTTGTTGTGGGTGCAGTGGAAAACAGACAAGGAATGGATGGTCAAGGTAAAAAGCTAGGAATAAATGCTTACATACATATACACAAGACACACAAGTAGGATACGAATTAATGCTCATTCATTGAATGTTTTGAAATTCCTTGTCACTAAAGTCGAAGATGGAATATCTACCACTCTATCTTTCTTTAATTAATAAAGGATCTAGGCTTTTCATTTTGGCACCTTTTTCTCAAATTGATTCACTTTAAACCAACTTTTATTTTGTATTGCTAACCAGTTTAACTGCCCAACTGCAAAACTACCTGAATTTCCTCAAATTAAAGTTCAAAGAGGGATCTAAATTACGGTTGAAATTCTAGAGACAAATCCATTTAATGGAAAAAGAAGAAGAAGAAAGAAAAGATTGAGTTGCGTACATTCCTCAAAATTGAAGGATGAAGATCAAGGTATAGGAAGTCCTGAAAAATGTTATAAGTATAGTTTGGACTTGAGACGAAGCAATATATAAACGCCCCGAAACAACTATGAGATTAAACTTCATAGGCTAACATCAATAGTATTTTCTTGCTTTTTTATTATTATTATTATCTAGGGGTGACAAATGAGCGGTTTGTGCTGATTTTCGACGGGTCAAAATGGGCTAAGTTAATAAATGGGCGGGTCGACCCGTCCAAAATTTACTTGGGCTGAGATGGGTTGGGAAGATGAGTTAAAATTTTGGATCATAACCGAACACGCATAACTCTTATCAAGCTTTAATTAATGTGTGTTATTTTTTTTATGGATTATTTAACTATCAAGTAAGATTTTTTTTTCTTTTGATATGGTCATATATAATATATCAAATAAAAAAAGAATTATTTTAAAAATATTTTAGTAAAACTACTCATGGATATTTTTGAGCTAAAAATTAGTCTAACTTTAAATGGGTTGAAATGGGTTGGATCAAGATAGGTTGAGTTCAACAAATGGCCCAAACTTGGGCGGGTTGGATGGGTCAAAATTGAATTGGGCTCAAATTACCACCCCTATTATTATCGGTTGTTTCTTTTGCTTTATTATTCTTTTTCAATAATGTTGTGACTACGCCTTTGAGCCGAGGGTCTATCGGAATCGTCTCTCCACCTTCACAAGGTAAGGGTAAGGTTGCGTACACATTATCCTGCCCAGACTCCACCTATGGGATCACACTGAGTTTGTTATTGTTGTTAAAATTCCTTCAAAAGTTTCTTTTAATTATTTTACTACAGAATAATAACCTTATATATTTAGGGGTAGCAAAGGGGCAGGTCGGATCGGATATGGGTTGGGTCGAAAACAGATAATAAAAAAATAGATAAATTATCCGACCCGACCCATATTTAATACGGATAGAAAATTGGTTAACCGACAGATAATATGGATGACTTCTTGAATATGATTACTTTTGGGAGAAATTCAAGTCTCCCAAACTTGAAGAACTCCCAATCTGAGTCTTTACAAATGTAAAAAGTTGAACTCATTAGTTATCCATTGATTATCCATTTTCTAAGTGGATAATATAGTTGTATACGGCTAAAACCGGGCCCACCCAATTTTACTGTATGACCGAGACCGGGAGTTTGCATCGAAAGACGACTCCAAAGTGGATCGGATCGAGGCATGAAGACAAGGTACTGAGATCGAAATTCGAGGCACCTACCAAGATCGAGGCCAGCAGCAATCGAGACCAAACAAGACAGGCATCGAGCAATACCGAAGATAGCGTAATAACGAAAAAGCGAGATATCCGCGACTGATCGAAGATCATGGCGAAAATCTCAGAACAGATCGAATCAAGAACGGTTATTTAGTTANGGGGGTTCTAACCATTTGTAGAGAACGGAGAAAAAAGCAATATAATTTTCTTTCTCGCTCACGCTCTTGTTCTTCAGCTTATCGTACTTTTGTTGTCCTTGCATCCACCAGTTCGGGGGTATTACAACTCAAGTGCTGAGTTATATTCAAACACTGGTTTGATTTGTCTTATAGTTCAATTCCATCTTTAATCTTCATATTTATCAATTGGTATTATGTGAAATTACGTATCCTTAAATCCATATTATAAGCTTAATTGTTATCCATTTTCGAGGGTAAACAGTTTGGCGCCCACCGTGGGGCTAAGGATAATAGTGATTGCTAAATACTTATTTCAATAACACACACTACTTTACGCTTGTTTTTGTAAGTATTTTTGTTTTGAGGAAAAAACATGTCAAACTCACAAACGACACCCGCACAGGGTGACGATGATTTCGGATTTCACGGGGAGAACGACAATATAGCTGCCTCAGGAATCCAGGTGCCTCAGGCTGATCTCGAGGGAGTACCAATTGCAAACCCCATCGGCGTCAATTCACATATCGCCCTAAATACAAATTTGGGCGCTGATCCCGAAGGTAGCGTACGCAGAGAAGGTCGATCTGGTAGTCGAGGTACGCAGGGCGGAAGAGATGGTGGAGTCAGCCTCCAATTGATATTTGAAATGTTACAGTCTCAACAAGCCGCTATAGCGCAGCTACAAAA